CCCCTCATTAAACGGGCTAACCCATTGATGTCTGATAATTTACTCAAGTATGGCCACTCAGGGCAAATAAAAAACTTTTGGCCTAATAAGTTTTAAGGCGATTTCTAAAGAAACTTCTGGRAAAAGGCTAAACAGATTCAAGAAAAATATAATAAATTAGTTTTCAAAAACTAAGAAATGTACAGGTCAACATTCTAAAGTGTCCTTGCGTGTTTACATATGTACATTTCTTCTGCAACACAAAAACACACATACATCCATACACGCATACATATGTTCATCTTCGTTCATCTAAATCTTTGAAAAATCTACTCGAAAGTGCAACTCACGCTGCAAACATGTGTTTCCGGGTTCAACAAACTGCTGAACAGAATTCTGAGCATTGCATTGAATTTCAATTGTACTAGACACACACACACACACATGCATGTGCACATACAATATCTTWAAATATTTATCCTTTTCGCTTTCGACACTCAGCACTCGGTCACTGTGTTTTTTGTTTGCTTACAATTTTTGTTGTTTGCTTATAAGTTGCTGCTGTTGTTTGCTTAGAATTTTTTGTTGTTGTCTGCTATAATTTTTTTGTTTGCTTTTTTCTTATCTGCTGATTGTAGAAGTGTTTTCTGCTGTGTTTGCTCTCACAAATCTATTTCGACTGACCAARTGACTTGATTATTTACATTAATCTGCTACTGTGCGTGTGTGTGTGTGGAAATATGCGCTTTCTACACTGCTTCGAAGAAGTATATGTACAATGTATTGTTACAAATTGATCGGTAGAAGTTAATTGGAGGAAATTTGAACCAAATAATTAAATGAAAATGAACTTTGAAAGAAAAAAATGCTTTGTAAAGAATGTTTAGGAAAAATTAATAAAAAAAAATTTGAAAACATTAAAAAATACTTTGCAAAGGTATTAGGAAAAATTAATAACAAAATTAAGAAAATCAAAGAAATTAGATAAAAGTAAAAAAAAATATTTTGCAAAAATATTAGGAAAAATGTACATATAAAAAATTAAGAAAAAATTAAAAGAAATTTAGCTAAAACACAAAGAATGCAAAAATATTAGGAAAAAGATGGAAAAAGGTAAAACAAATAATAAAAAATTAAAACAATTAAAGAAATAAAATTAAGAAAAAAATTGAAAATTTATGAACTGCGATAGTTTTAAAAAAGAAACAGTTATTAATTGTAAAAGTGTGTATTTGACCAGTAGTAGGGCTACTACTGGTCGAGGAAGGAAATTTTAGCAATTGAAAGAAATTTGACTAAAAATTTAAAAAAATATTACGAAATACTAAAAAAAGGAAAAAATTAACTAATTTAAGAAAAATTAAAAAAAATTARAAAAAAACAAGTTAAAAAAATAARAAAAATTGGAAAAAAGAATTAGGAAAATTAAAGGAATTAAATTAAAAATTTAAATTTAAAAAAATAAATAATAGGTTTTTTAAATGAAAGAAAAATAATATGAAAACATAAAATTAAAAATAAATTTAGCAACACTTTCTCTAAAATGAAACAAAMAACATATTATGAGAAAAATAAATTAGTTAATTAAAGCCTAGATTATTTTTACGCTACTAAAATCCGAGCTAAGGTGAATTTTTTGTGAAAAATGTGTTTTTAAAGAAAAGAGCAAAGCAATCTCATTGATTCATTCAACAACAAACCAATAAAAATTATAACCGGTTATTAACCGCTATTAGCAATTTTTTATTTTTTTTGCTGTTGTTGCAGTGACAGAAACATTTCTGTAGTAATTTCGAGAAATAATGCGGAGTTGATATACGCTAACCGGATAACAATCCGGTCCGTTCCGGTTACTTAGACCGAACTGTGGTGAGAACGGAATGTCTAATCTTTCCTTGGATATCAATGATATGGACTGAAACCCACCTAACCTTAAAATATATATTATATATTTATCCCGAACTCTTTGTATGATAATTTTAGTGTACGAATGGACATTTAAACGGTTTTTAGATTTTCTAAGAGCTAATCCATCAAACCCATGCGCACTTTACTTAGTACCTAACCTGCGAATAATTTTCCATTTTCCCTAAGAAGACAGTCGTCAAACAAAGTTTAGGATTTTTTTTTTCATTTTTACATTTCAACTAGTCATTTTAGTCCCGTTTAACGACTGCATAAAACTTACCTCAACAAATCTATTCTAACCATCTCATGAGGGCACAATAAACCTAAAGTCCTGGTGTAATCCTTTATCTAGTCTAGGATCACCTCAAAACCTACATTACCAACTTCAACAATAATTTTAGTAAACAAACAAATGGGCACTTAAAAGAGTCTTACGATTTCTGACCACCACACCAAGCTAGAAAAATTAAATAATTATATAATAACCAAAAAAGTTGAATAACAAATACAAAATGAAAATGATTGACTTTAAACAAAATCCGTTTAAAATGAAAATCAAACCGTTGAGTAATGGCGAGAATCGCACAGGACGTAGCTGTTTGCGGGCACGTCTCGTCTTTCGCTGGAARACTTGGGTATGCGTATCTACAAAACTCACCACTAATCCACCATAAGTTCAACAYTGCACTTAAAATATATAAAATTAACACAAAATTAAATTGCTTTCGCCACCTTTTTTGTACTCTTTACAGGCTGAGCTCTCCGATGTGCTGCGTAAACGCAATCGCCATCGTCAGGATGCTTCCGAAGAGGATCTGGGACTGCCACGCAGTCCAGCTTCACCACAACGGCGCGTCGAACGCACCACACAACGCACTCACTATGCCAATAGCAAGCACACAACCACAGCCACATCTTCCAYCGCCACCACCACGGGTGGCAATCACAGTGAAGTGTCCTCGTTGAGTTTGCTGAGCATGAATAGCGGTGATGGTGATGAGCTATTCACCGCATCCACCGCAAATAATTCCACAGTTAGCGCCAAAGAATTTGTGCAGGAACGTTCAKTGACAACCACATCGTCAACGGTGAGTGSACGCAGCATTACTCGCTCATCCACAGTGTCGACCACATCGGTGTCCTCGGAGATTTATCGACACTCGTCGAGCGGCAGTTTGRCCAACGACAYGAACCGTGACGAGCCGGATTTGTTGGGTGCGAAGTATCAACGTCTGTCACATTCGGCTGCTAAGCATAAAATGGCTTTACGTCCGGCTAAGAAGAAGGGACCGAGTCGTCTGCACCGGCGTACGCTGGAGGTAAGTGGTTTTGATGAAGTTAAGAGTAGAAGACACGCCTCATACGTAATATAATGTTAGCAAGGTAATGCGAAATCGGTTCGTGAAGCTAGGTTCRGTATATTTTGTATAACATTAGCTCAATTTCCATTCGTGCGAAAGCCTTAGCATGCTCSTWGCTTWGCATAAGAACTTTTGGTATCAATAGGAGATCCTATCGGTTAATAATATTACACTTTTTATCTGATAAATTGCAGAAGTCTCAAATAAGGTTACCAAGAGAGTGCGAAATCGGTTCATGAAGCTAGGTTCGGTATATTTTATTTATCGTTAGATCGACTTCCGTTCGTCTGATTGCCTAAGTATTTGGTACCAAGTAGTTTTCATACTATATCTTATCCGATCTTAGTACTCATTAATATTCCTATGTCTTCGAGCTGTGAGAGTGTCTAAAGTTCCGCACAGCCCGATCTTAATCTTTACCTTCTTATTGTATATATTATATATTTGAAACCCCTCTCTACTATTTTCTGCAGACCTCAATACCGGAAGCCAATGAAGATAGTCTCAGATTGGCTAATAATACACTACTGGACATAAAAGGTAAGATTTTATTGAAGACTTCTTCAAAAGAAAATACTAACGTTTTCCGAGTTCCCACAGAACATGACATCAAAGCCAAAACACGCTCTCTACCGCCTAGCGTTAATACAAAAGTATTAGATCAACATGCTGTTGAACCGAAAAAGGTGGCATCACCTTCGAAATCGAAAACGAAATCTTCAAACGCCAGCAATGAGCAAACAGTTAGCGTTAAACGCTCRAAAATCGCGAAACATGAAAAGAGTAATGATGGTGGAAAACACACCACTAACACAACAACAATTACCACCACTAGCAGCAGCAGTAGTGGATCCATAACGGCCGCCACCAATCTATTTGGCTTGCGCACGTTGACAGCGAAGGCAACGGCGCTCTTCGAGCCACCACAGGAATCGTCCACCGATCCAACACCCAGTGAGCAGGAGTTGAAGAGAGAGAAGGAACGTGAGAARCTCAAGGAAAAGGAAAAAGAAAAGATGAAGGAGAGGGAGAGGGAGAGGGAGAAAGAGAAGGATGCCACAAGTACACAAATGGAGACGACAGAGAGCGGCTTCCTGCGGCGACTCATACAACGCAATTCCAAGCGTTCGGCCACGCGCAATAACAGCAACAGTAACAGCAACACACCGAACAGCGCGCCGACCGCCGAGGAAAATCAGGAATTGAGTCAGAGCGAAACGGATGCCAAAACTAAAATGCAAGTTTCCACCTCCTGTCTGGATAYCAAGCCGACACCCGAGCCCAGTTTGACCAAATTAGATAAATCTCGTAGCGCCTTGAGTTACGAACAAAATATCGAAGAGACACGTAAAGATATTAAACGTGAAATTTTGGCTGTCGGCAGCACCGGCTTGAATGCCATGTTGAACGCGCATAATTTGACAGCACACAACAACAGCGCCAACAAMGTCAAGGAAGCCGCGACAACCTCGCCACCGAAACCGAAATCGGGCGCRGCAGCACGCCAACGCTACATGCCGCAGGACATCAACTCGCTCGAGCGCAAGGTGACCACGAACGCCAACACGACAGCGCACGACTCTTRTGCCAGCAGCACTAACAGCCTACTCTCCAAAAGCTCACAGCAAGAGATATTCCAATCTACTTCGATTATACGTGAAATTACCGCCTCACAGGCATCCAGTGTGAATTCGTTGAGCAGCGTCAGCAAATTGCCAGAGCATCACTACGAGAAGAAACCGAAAATAGTTGGACTCAGCGCTTTTCAGCAAAAGATCTCACGCTCCAACGATTCGGTGGTACGTTACGCCACCGCCAGTAATGGCGCAAACGCGCATTCCACCAGCTCGCTGGACGTCGCCGACGAAACGCACGCGTACAGCAGCCAAGAACAGAAGCAACGAAAAGTTGTGGAGAARTCRCGCAGTTTTCGCACATACCAAGAGGAGGCGTATGCCACGCCCACCGCGATGCACAACAACATGCCCAGTTTGCCCGATTTGACGTTGAATTTGCGTGTGCCSTACAATGATTTCGCACACACACACACCAAAGATAATGCCGACAACGGCGCTTTGRATATGGAGTTGCAAGGTGATAAGGCGACGCGCGCCAACACACCGCGCACTGAGTCTGYAGGCAATWTAAGTGCCACGAGCAGCAGTTATAATTTTACAAAAAATATTGTGGTGAAGAGCACACCAACTAAAACGGTCGCGCCAGAMGAGTCCAACAAAGGTGATTTACTTGTGAARTCACCATTCATCAATGTCTTGCGCAAACCAACGAGCACCACCAGTTTGGAGGAGAAACCACTTGTGGTTACCGTGAGCGCCGCTAACAGCAACCGCAAATSTGTTGAGCAGATTAATGCGCCCAAGGCGTCGCCCATCTCGCTCGTCACTGTGGTGCCGYCCGCAGCGGAAGTGTTGAAGGCCGAGCAGCAGCTGCGTCCGAAAGTGTTGCATTTGCGGGATTCGAATGCGAGCCTGGATAAGTCCACCTCCACGGACGACCCGAWSCTCACACCCACAACAGCGGCAGTACCGTTGCGCGAGATGAGCAAGCTGAAGTCAAATGTGGCGGTGGCTAATGTGCGCAATGCCATGGATGTTTTAGCAGCGAATGCCAAAGATGTGGAGCGCAAATCGGCGCCAGCACCGGTGATGCAGAGCGCCAAGGCGCAAAGCGTCAAGACGACGCGCCGCAGCACCAGCTTGTTGGACAGCCCGCCAGCGCACAGCCAAAGCGGCATTGAAGAGCGCGGCGGCACAGTAAAGGTAAGCTTAACTTCTACTTAACATAATTATTTTATGACTAAACATATTTTTTGACAGTTGCATGAGTCGACAAGCGGCAGCAGCACGCCGAATGACGATGGCGTGCCGGAGTTCATGCGCATACAGTTGAATCGCGTTGATCCCGMGCGCATTGCCAAAACCGCAAATGTGGTGCTGGCCAAAAATGTGCGCGAGCTGCAAACGCCTACACAACAGCAGCAACTACAACAAACAGAACCACAGCAGGTGCAACAGGAGAAGCAGCAGCAGCTACAACAACAGCACCCACAAGTGACCAAAGAGGCTAATAACGAGCGCAACAGTAATTTGGARGAGCTCAGCTTGCGCCGCTTGAGCAACGAGAGCGTGGAGATTGTCGAGAAGCCMTCACCCAATGAAGCCGACAAGCAGAAAACCATATTCGATATGAGCCAAAATCACAGCTGCAGCAACAGCAACAACAGTAACAATAAATCGCCMACTAAAATGCAAGTGGTTGTGAGCGCGCTGCCGCCAAGAAGTCCCGTAAAGAAACAACAATCGATTGTAACACTTTCACCAACAACACCAACCACACCGACAACACCGATGACACCAACAACAACTGATGTAGATGAGAACGCATTGYTGCGCATGAAAACGCCATCAGATACGCCCGCGGACGGGGCAACGCTTAGCGCCAAAAAATTATCGTTGCAAGAGCGCAAGCGCTTGTTCATGAGCGAGGAGAAATTGAAGACGGACAAGCGCATTGAGGARTTGCGCAATGAGCGCAAGAAGTCCATTACGGAGGAAGTCTATCGCAAATCATTTGCCAAATCGGAGGAGAAATTGGAGACGAGCGAAAAAGCGGCCACTGACAATGTGGTCATGCTGCGCAAGAAGTCCTTCTGTGCGACGACGCAAGCRTGCGCACCGACCAACGGCAATCGCGATGATGCGACACCCGAGTTGATGAAGGTTTTCGCGCGGCGCTCATTGAAAATCAAAGATGAGGACATCAACGCGCTTGCCGACAAAATACAGGTGAGCAATGGTGGCGGCGGCGGCGGCAGCGGCAGCAGCGCCAAGAAGTTCGTAGCGGCGCAACAGAATGTCGACAGCGACAAGGAGAATCAGTCGGCGAGCGAGGAGAAACTAGACAAGTTGCCGAAATTGGAGGCGTCACTCGAAATGCAGAGCGGCAAATTGACGAATGGCGTCAATAATCGCAATTCGTTGGCTGATTTTCGTACGAAAAGCGTTATTGGCGGTGYGTCACATACGAATGGCTTGAGCGTGCATAATAACAATAATAATAACAACAACAACAACAATCACACTGCCGCAAATAACAGTAATAACAGCACCACCGGCATACACAGCGTTAACAATACCACCGTCAACAATGTCAACAGCAGCAACAACGGCATCAGCAGCGCCGGCGGCRTCGGCGGCGCCAATAATCGCAGCTTCCTGCCGCCCATCAAAGTCGCCGGCTTCCGCGCCATACCCATCGAGCGTAACAGCAGCGTTAGTAAAATCTTTCCGACCACTGCGTCTGAAACTYTAAACAACARCAAWAATAACAATAGCAACAGCAACAATTTGAATAACAACAATCACCATCAACAGCAACAGCAGTTGAATGGCAAAGCGCACGASCGACAATCGTTGAATATTAAAGCGCTTGAGAGCAACAGCAGTGGCAGCAGCAGCAGCATGAACAGTTCGAYGAGCAGCAGCAGCGCGCTTAGCAAGACAATCGAGCGCTCGGCAACGGTTAGCGAATTTAAGGGTATACATCAGCGGCGCGCCGAGTGGGAGCAACGCGCCAAGGAGGCGTTGAAGTAAGCGTGAAAAGGGAGATGGCTACGCGCTTTTATGCAGTGCTGGTGAGCAGCGAAATATGTGCGAATATAAGAAATGAAAAGGCCGGYGCAGCAAATACGTGTACCCATGCTAGTGTACATTGGGAAAAATTGACAGTGACTTGGCGCATGCGCATGCGTATGCTTTTCGAGCTTGTTTGCATTTTCTGCAACATTGAAGCACTAAGTTTTAATTCAACTTTCTTTTTTATCATACAAAATTATGCCGTAAAGTTGTAAATGTTACTAACAAAATCTAATATAAGCAAAAAACAAAAAATACTAAAATGCTAAGAAATATGTATGAAATTTTCAAAGTGGACATTGATGGGTTGGCGGTTAGAACAAAAGCGGTGATAAAGGTGAAAAAGTGCGAATGTAGGGTGTGGTCAACGCTAAAATTGCAGGGTTAGTCATATTGCTCGAACATATTGGTTAGTCGAAAAAGTCTTTTCATACATCTATTGKCAAAATACGTACATCTATAGACAARATACGAAAAGACTTTTTCGACTACCGAATATTATATATTGRAATATAAATGGAAATGCGAGAAAATAGTGTTGAAAATTATTGAAGTAGGCAACAGTTATTGAGAAAGCGCTTAGTTAGATGTGAGAGCGAGAAGAGTATAGTCTTCTTATAAATTAATGTRAAAATAGTAAAATTGGCTGAGCGTGCAGTGCAATAATGTTAGAGATGGCGAATCATTGCATGTTAAAATACTTTATTATAATATTTCGAAATTTTTGTAGAATTTTTATTTACAGATTTTTTTGTTCGCAATAGATTTTTGCGTAAAAATTTTACATTTCARATTTTCATAGATTTTTTCGTAATATTATATATTCCTGACTTAAATTTTTTATTTCCAAATTTTATTATGA